GCTGACGGGTCACCGTGATCACAGTCCCCACAACGCGGCCGTGGGCAGGACTCTGCTGCTGTTGGTTGGGTGAAGGAGCCGAGGCCACACTGACTCAGGTCTCCCGACACCCCCGGTTCACAGGGACACCTGCTGGCTGAAGAGGGGGCCGCGGGGGACAACGGGCAAGGATTCCGGTGAGGGTGGGCACCGCCGCACCGCCCAGGGCGCTCGCGGGGAGGGCGGGCACTATGCACCGGCCCCGGGCGCTTGCGGGGAGGGCGGGCGCTCTGCACCGGCCTCGGGCGCTCGCGGGGAGGGCGGGCACTATGCACCGGCCCGGGCGCTCGCGGGGAGGGCGGGCACTATGCACCGGCCCCGGGCGCTTGCGGGGAGGGCGGGCGCTCTGCACCGGCCTCGGGCGCTCGCGGGGAGGGCGGGCGCTCTGCACCGGCCTCGGGCGCTCGCGGGGAGGGCGGGCACTATGCACCGGCCCGGGCGCTCGCGGGGAGGGCGGGCACTATGCACCGGCCCCGGCGCTCGCGAGGAGGGCGGGCACTATGCACCGGCCCGGGCGCTCGCGGGGAGGGCGGGCACTATGCACCGGCCCTGGCGCTCGCGAGGAGGGCGGGCGCTCTGCACCGGCCTCGGGCGCTCGCGGGGAGGGCGGGCACTATGCACCGGCCTCGGGCGCTCGCGGGGAGGGCGGGCACTATGTACCGGCCTCGGGCGCTGGCGGGGAGGGCGGGCACTATGCACCGGCCCCGGGCGCTGGCGGTGGCCCTGACCACTGCTGTATGTCCCCAGGTAGAATGAAAGAGCCCCTGTCCTTTCTCCTTCGAGCAGAGAAGTCTGGCTAAACGAAGGTGAAGTTCATGAGAAGGGAGGTGGGGACAGAGGTGGGAGGCACTTCTGAAGGAGAGGAGGAAGAGGGCTGATCTATGTTCCCCTTATTTGCCTTCTCCATCCACTGAGGGGGGGGGGGCAGGCGAGAGGGGACAGATGGTCAGTCCTGCCTTAGTCTCCACCTGCAGGGCACGCAGGTTCAGAGCACCGACATCCCAGAGCACCCACGCTGGTGCCCAGCCTTCGCCTGGACCCCACAGCACAGCCCGCGCCCGGCAACAACCCCAGATCCTCCGGCTTCACTGTGCCAGGGCCTGGTTTCTGTGAGAGCCAGCCTGCGCCCGGGGCCACACCAGCAGGGTGCCCTACCCACACACTACACTATCAGGAGTGTATGTTTCTGGACCATGCGAAGTGCAGTGGCAATTTCAAGACAGAGCTCAAGTCTCTGGGTTCTGGAGGAGAGAAGAGTACACTCCAAGACAAGGTGGGGGGGGGGGTAAGCAGGAGGCAGAGCACAGCTCCTGAGACAGACACTTCTACACTAGCAGGAAGATCTCCACCTTGAAATTCTTTCACACAGTTTTCGGTGCCCACTGTGTGCTGTAATCAAACAAGGGCCTTGGTTCCCAGACTCAGGACTCGGAGCCTTCTCTGTAAGCCCAGCACACGGAAAACATGCCCTGCTTTGAAGAAGGGCCTGCCTACCCGGCCTCTGCACCCCCCAGTCAGTTGGGATCTCTAGACTGTAGGAAGTATCTGCAAACCAGTCCTGGGGCCACAGAAACACAGCTGAGCTGAGCAGAAAGACACATTTGCCAGGCCCTGGCACAGTGAAGCCGGAGGATCTGGGGTTGTTGCCGGGCCACGGGCTGTGCTGTGGGGTCCAGGCGGAGGCTGGGCACCAGCGTGGGTGCTCTGGGATGTCGGTGCTCTGAACCTGCGTGCCCTGCAGGTGGAGACTAAGGCAGGACTGACCATCTGTCCCCTCTCGCCTGCCCCCCCCCCCCCAGTGGATGGAGAAGGCAAATAAGGGGAACATAGATCAGCACTTAGGCACATGTTATGACAGACTGCACCAGCTACCTGGCATTACATTTGCATTTATCTGCACATATAATCGTAACAGAAGTCAGTGATTCGAGCTCACACTTCCTGTGCTTCCCTGTGTGCCATGCACTATAAATACCAGCTAAGGGTTTTATGTTTTTCTTTTTTAAATTAAACCTCATTATAACTTATGGGGTTGATATTTCTACTGTGCCCATTTTAAAGGTGTAGACATTGAGACCCTGGGAAAGATGATTCAACGACTTGTCCAAGATGTTCCGGAGTTAGAAATTGACAGACCTGGATTCTACAATGTAAAAGCTCCCTGCAGAAAATGCAAATCAAAAAACCATGAGATACCACTACTCACTTATTAAAATGGCCAAAGCAAACAAAATAACTGAGAATAACAAGTGCTGTCAAAAATATGGGGAAACTGGAACACACATACTCTGGTGAGAGTGTAAACTGGTGCAGTCAAGGAAAACAGTTTGGCAACTCCCTCCTTATAAAATAAACAAACACCAGATGCCCCAACAACCCCGCTCCCAGGTGTCTACACCCATGAGAAATAAAAACATGTCCACATACAAAACACTAACACACAAATATTTAGAGTAAGCGTCATCTATAATTGCCCAAAAGTAGAAACAACCCAGATGTCCATCAACTAGTTATGGATAAACACACACTGATTCATCCAGCCAATGGAATGCAGGTGCACCTCGCTTTACTGTGCCTTGAAGATACTGCAGTGTTAGTTGTTTTTTTAAATTTTTACTGCTTTGTTAGAGAGAGAGAGAAACATCAATGTGAGACAGAAACATTAATCGGTTGCCTTCCATATGCACCACGACCAGGGATCAAATCCACAACCTGGGTAAGTGCCCTGACTGGAAATCGAACCCAGCACTTTTTGGAGCATGAGATGACACTTCCAACCAACTGAGCCACACCGACTAAGGTGATACTGTTTTTTTTACAAATGGAAATTTTGGCTCTGGCCAGTGTGACTCAGATGGTTGGGTGTGGTCCATGCACTGAAAGGTTGCCAATTTGATTCCCAGTCAGGGCACATGCCCAGGTTGTGGGCTTGATCCCTGGTGGGCGTGTACGAGAGGCAGCTGATCAATGTTCCACTCTCACATTGATGTTTCTTTCTTTTTTTTTTTTTTTTTTATCCTCACCCGAGGACATTTTTCCATTTTTTGTTCAGATAGAGTGAGAGGGAGAGAGAGGAAGAGAGAGAGAGAGAAACATCGATGTGAAGGGACACATCAAGTGGCTGCCACCCGCACGACCAACCAGGGCCGGGGACAAACTGCAACCGAGGTACGTGCCCTTAGCAGGAACCGAACCCGGGTCTCTCTGTACCGCAGGCCGACGCTCCAACCGCTGAGCCAAACCGGCCAGGGCTCACATTGATGTTTCTCTCTCTCTCTTACTCTCCCTTCCTCTCTCTCTAAAAATTAATTTAAAAAAAATTTTTTTTTTTTTATCCTCAACCAAGGACATTTTCTATTTTTTGTTCAAGTAGAGTGGGAGGGAGGGAGAGGAAGAGAGAGAGAGAAACATCGATGTGAAAGGGAAACATTGAGTGGCTGCCACCCGCACGACCAACCAGGACCGGGGGCCAAACAGCAACTGAGGCACGCGCCCCTAGCGGGAACCGAATCCGGGTCTCTCTGGACTGCAGGCTGATGCTCTAACCGTTGAGCCAAACCGGCCAGGGCAAAAAAATATTTTTTAATTGAAAATTTGTGGCAACCCTGAGTTGAATGAATCTATTGGCCATTTTTCCAACAGGCTCAGATAATGGTTAGCATTTTTTAATTAAGGTACATACATTGCATTTTAAACATAATGCTATTGAACACTTAATAGACTATGGTATAAATATAAGTTTTATATGCACTGAGAAACCAAAACATTTATGTGACTTGCTTTATTGCGATATGCACTTTATCATGACACAGTCTGGAGCCGAGCCTGCAATATCCCCTGCACTGTTTAAAACAATAGAACAAACTTCTAACACGTGCATTGGCACGGATGAATCTTGGAAGCATTACGCTGAATGAAAAGCAGACTCACAAGGCTACATACTGTATGATCCGATGTAGCAGAAATTCTGGAAAAGGCAAAGTTGTTGGGAAAGAAAACAGGAGCAATTACCTGGGGCTGGGGCTGGGGCATGGAGGACAAAGACAAAGCCCCGGAGGTAACTGTTTAGGGTGACAGGCACAGTCTCTATCTTGACTGTGCTGATAGTTACATGACTATATACATTTGTCAAAACTCAAAGAACTGTAAACTAAATTATACCTCAACAAACTTAACATTAAAAAATGTTCTCTGGCCCTGGCCGGTTTGGCTCAGCAGTTAGAGTGTTGGCCTGCGGTCCCAAGAGACCCGGGATCGGTTCCGCTAAGGGCATGTATCTCGGGTGCAGTTGGTCCCCAGCTCTGCTTGGGTCATGCGGGTGGCAGCTACTCGATGTGTCCCTTTCACATCAATGTCTCTCTCTCTCTCTTCCTCTCTCTCCCTCCCACTCTATATGAGCAAGAAAATAGAAAAATGTCCTTAAGTGAGGATAAAAAAAAAAACACAAAAAAAAACGTTCTCTGGTCCAGCCAGTGTGGCTCAATGGTTGAGCATAAACCCATGCACCAAGAGGTCGCCGGTTCTATTCCCGGTCAGGGCACTTGCCCAGGCCAAATTCCCAGTGGGGGCATACAGGAGGCGGCCAATTGATGTTCTCTCTCATGGATATTTCTATCTCTCTCTCCCGCTCCCTTCCTCTCTCTCTAAAAGTAATAAAGAAAAAAAATAGAAAGAAAGAAAAACGCTCTCTGAAGATAGGCTTATAGGTCAGTAAGCCCACTCAGTCAGAAGTGTTCTACACTACTTCTGACCAAATCTATCCTTTGTGCTAACTAGTAAGTAGAAGAGTAAGCCAATCTGACCTTTATTACTCTTCCATTTCCCTACTGATCTCTGGCAAACAAATTAACAAAGAAAAGATAACTGACAAAAGATGACCATGCAGGAGAGCAGCTGAGAGCAGAGATGGCCTACACATTCTGAGTGACCGGAGTTCCCAGACAGGAAGAAGCCACACCCACCTCAGGATGTCTCTTGATCTTCTGTTCAAAGACCTCAGTTTCACTAGAAGCTGTGGCTGCCTCCTCATCACCATCATCTGATGGAAAACACTCCCATGTGCTTAAAAAAAATTAATAAATGTCAAAACTTTAAGTACTCAGGACAGTGAGTATAACACAACAAAGTATTTTCATTTTCATCTAAAAGCAAGGTATTTTGCTATAGTACAAAAGAGTCTTCTCAGCCCCAGTGCCCGCCCCAGACAGCCGTATAGCTGTTGCTGAGATACAAAGAAAAAAAGGGAGTTAAGAAAGCATGTCTGACTTCAGGTGGCCCACCTGCATCCCAGACCCCAAACGCCTTCCTGTCCTGAGAAGAGGGGACGGCACTGCCGGGCAGCAGCGGTGTCCTGAGCCGTTAAACAAGGGGGGCAGATCTGAGGAGCAAAGGGGGAGTTTCAACACCGCTGGGCTCTGAGCTGCATGGACAAGGACCACATCTGGCTCTCCATTCCCACTGCCTAGTACAGGGCCTGGTTAGTGAGCATGTTAGAAGGTGCTCAGTCCCTGGGAGGTTTAGCTCAGTGTTAGAGCATTGGCCCGCGGACCAAAGAGTCATGGGTTCAATTCTGGTCAAGGGCACGTACCTCAGTTGTAGTTCATCCCCAGCCATGGTCAGGATCATGTGGGAGGCAACCAGTTGATGTGTCTCTCTCACACTGATGTTTCTCTCTCCCTCCCTCCCTCCCTCTCCCCCGCCCCCACTCCTACTCAGTCTGAAAATAAAATGGAAAAATATCCTCGGGTGAGGATTAAAAAAAAAAGGTGCTCGACATTTCTGGAGGATAATTTGGCACATACAACACAACCGCAAATGTCCACACCCTTTGACTAGCGATAGACAGTCTCTGAATCAGCATGCTTATTAACTAGCGAGTGGTCCACGAGGAGCCAATGCAGGCCCCAAGAAAATAAGCACTCAGATAAAATGACTAGGATTTTAACATTGAATAATATGTTTTTTAAATGTGAAACGTATTAGAACAGTGGTTCTCAACCTTCCTAATGCCGCGACCCTTTAACACAGTTCCTCATGTTGTGGTGACCCCCAACCATAAAATTATTTTCATTGCTATTTATCTGTAATTTTGCTACTATTATGTATCGCCATTGGAAATAGGTGTTTTCCTATGGTCTTAGGCGACCCCTGTGAAAGGGTCGTTCAACCCCCAAAGGGGTCGCGACCCACAGGTTGAGAACCAATGTATTAGAATCTCACTGTCTTCTCTGATGCCTCTTGTTTCTTGAGCTCTAAGGAAAGAAAGGAAGGCCCTGGCCGGTTTGGCTCGGCGGTTGGAGCGTTGGCCTGCGGTCTGGAGGAAAGAAAGGAAGGTCCTAAGAGCTGTACCTCTTCTGGATGCTGAAGGGTCCACGTCAACACCTTTTTCATAAGGGGTGCCACCACTCAGGACGAGCTCGTAAGTCCTACAAAAGAAGGGTGTGCTGTGACCGAGACCTATGATGGACGTTCTCAAACACTGGAGTCGTGAATCAACTACTTTTAGCACAGATACATTTGCAGACATTTATGTTTCATTGATAAATGAGAATAAAAGTTGGTCCTTCTGTGGGGCATCATTTCAGTAAATAAGTCTCTTTCTTGACTATGAACCATAGAAGTACATTTTCCACATTAATATGAGAAAGATTATTGATGTCATTAAGGTATCTTGTCATTAAAATGTTTTGAATAATTTTAAATAAAGCCAATATAAGTTTATATTGTTTTCCAAACATAAAAGTGACATGTACACTGTAGTAAAAAGTTTGACTGACCTAAAAATAACAAGGGAAAAATGAAAGCTGCCTCCCCTCCCCTCCAGTTTGGCAGCTCCTTGCCCTATCTTTCTCTATGCAAATGCAAACTAATACGTTCAACAGTAGATCTCAAACTGAACACGTTTCTCTCAGAGTTGCAAACTGCCGAAGCGTAGAAAGCAGAAGGTGACAGGCCCCTTGACTCCACTGCACCAGCTCCTCCTCCTGCTCCTCAGGGCAGCCCCTGGGGACAGTTCACATAAACACGCCCACTTCGGCAGTTTCTCTGAACCAAATTGGAGTCAGAGTACACATACTATCCTGCTACTTGCTTTTTTCATATAATAACATACATTAAAAATGTTTCTGTATCAATACACAGGTCTCCACCTCATTTTAAAAAATAGCTGTGGCTTTAGGAAAGATTGAGTAGACACAGCTTTCCCTCCTATTAAATACAACTAAAACCCTGAACATTATTAAAAACAAAACCTCCAAATCGTAGAAAGCCTGGGCTTCTACATCTACTGTGGGGTGGATGGAATGGGAGAAATAAAGTGCCCACCCCCTTCTGCCTGGTGACGTCAGAGGGGTGGTGCGGTCAGGACTTTCACCTCTGTCCTGTGGTAAGACGGTCCCATCCACCCTGTGCTGTCAGCAGAGGTGGGGGGGAATTCCCTGAATTAAACCTTTGGGGTTAGAAACTATGATAATCCCCCATTCTGAAACTGAGGGAAACTGTGGCTTGGAGATTTACAGTTATGCAGACATGGGGGAACAGAGCCTGAATTTTATGCAAATCTGGGAACTTCATCCTCCCCCTCCCGACTGCCCTCTTGTATCTCTCTGTCAATTTCCTGTTCATATCCTAGACTTAGATTTCTGTGTGCTCATTTTAAAATGTAATTGTCTTTACCCTGGCCAATGTTGCTCAGTGGTTAGAGCATTGACCTGTGCACAGAAGGGTCACAGGTTCGATTCCCAGGCAAGGGCACGTACCTGAGTTGCATGTTCAATCACAGGCCCCAGACAGGGCGTATGCAGGAGGCAACCAATCAATGCGTCTCTCTCATGTCAATGTTTCTCTTTCTCTCTCTCCCCCTCACCCTCCTTCCCCTCCAATTTCTAAAAATCAATGAAAAGAACATCCTTGAGTGAAGATTAACAAAAAAAAAAGGTAATTGTCTTCTGAATTTTTGAGAACTCTTTTTATATTAGCGATAGTAACCTTCTGTTATGTATATACAGGGTGTGGCAAAAGTAGATGTGCAGTTGTTCATATAGAAAATAATATAATTAATAAATAATAATACAAGAATGCACTGTTTTTGCATACTCAACACTGTAAGCATACTTTTTTTTTTAATCCTCACCTGAGGATATTTTTCCATTTATTTTCAGATAGAGTGGGAGGGAGGGAGAAAGAGAGAAACATCGATGTGAGAGAGACATATTGACTGATTGCTTCCCTCACAACCCCAATCAGGGCCAGGGAGCAAGCCGCCACTGAGGTACATGCCCTTGACCAGAACTGAACACTCAACTCTTTGGTCCTTGGGCTGACGCTCTAACTTCAGAACCAAACAGGCCAGGGCTATAAATACTTTTGGCCCGTCCTGTACTGTAAATATTTGCTACCATTTGCCTTTTGGTCTTTTTTTATTTTTTGCCATTTAATTACTTTTATTATTCGATTACAGTTGACAGATAATCTTATATTAGTTTCTGGTACACACCCCAGTGATTAGACATTGTATAACTTACTAAGTGATCATCCTGATAAATCTCGTACCCATCTGACACCATAGTTATTAGAATGTTCCCTGTGCTATACTTTCCACCCCCATGACTATTCTGTAACAACCAATTTGTACTTCTTAATCCCTCACCTTTTCCACCCAGCCCACCAACCCCTCTCCCACCTGGCAACTGTCAAAAATTCTCTGTATCTATGAGTCTGTTTCTGTTCTGCTTGTTCATTCATTTTGTTTTTTAGATTCAATTGTTGATAGATATGTATTTATTGCCATTTTACTGTTCAGATTTTTTCTTTCTTTTTCTTAAAGAAGACCCTTTAATATTTCATATAATGCTGGTTTGGTGGTAAGGAACTCCTTTAGCTTTTTCTTATCTGGGAACCTCTTTATATGTCCCTCGATTCTAAATGATAGGTTTGCTGTGCAGAGTAATCTTGGTGGTAGGGCTTAGTTTTCATCACTTTGAATATTTCTTGCCACTCCTCTGACCTGCAATGTTTCTGTTGAGAAATCAGCTGACAGTCTTATGGGAGCTCCCTTGTAGGTAACCGCTGCTTTTCTCTTGCTGCTTTTAAGTCTGTCTTTAACCTTTTACATTTTAATTATGATATGTCTTGGTGTGGGTCTCTTTGGGCTCATCTTGTTTGGGACTCTCTACACTTCCTGGACATGTATGTCTATTTCCTTCACCAGGTTAGGGAAGTTTTCTGTTATTATTTTTTCAAATAGGTTTTTTGCTCTCTCTCTTCTCCTTCCAGTATCCCTATAATGTAAATATTGGTACACTTGAAGTTGTCCCAGAGGCTTCTTATACTGTCTTCATTTTATTTATTTATTTTATTTTTTGCTGTTCTGACTGGGTGTTTTTTTATTCCTTACACCATTCCAATTCACTGGTTTGATTATTGGTTTCATCTACTCTACTGTTGATTCCCTCTGTAAATGATTCTTCATTTCAGTTGGTATATCCTTCTTTTCTAACTGGCTCTTTTTTATGGCGTCTATGTCCTTTTTCATGCTGTAGAAGTTCTAGGTTCCTTGAGCATCCTTACCCCATTGTTTTGAACTCTATCTGGTAGTTTGCTTGCCTCCATTTCATTTAGTTCTTTTTCCGGAGATTTCTCCTGTTCTTCTATATGGGACTTGTTTCTTTGTCTCCACATTCTGGCTGCTTCCCAAGGTTTGTTTCTATGTATTAGGTAGAGCTGCTATGTCTCCTGAACTTGGTAGAATGGCCTTGTGTAGTAGGTGCCCTGTAGAGCCCAGTGGTACAGCCTCCCCCAGTCACCCGAGCTGGGAGCTCCGGGTATACCTCTGTGAATACTGTGTGCACTGTCCTGTTGTAGTCAAGCCTTGATTGGTGTTGGCATCACTAGGAGAGATTGATTCTCAGGCCAAGTGGCTGTGAGGACCAACTGCAACCACAGTGAAGGAGCTGCTGTGCAGGAGCTGACCCTGTGGAGCAGGACTTAAGTGGGGCTTTGGTGCTCACCGAGTCTGCCCCTTGAGTGTGTCACTCGTGAAAGTAATAGAGTTGTAATCAGCATGATCTGAAACTGTCCACCAGCTGCACTGGCTCTGGAGCCTCCCAGGAGGGTCAAGGTCAGCCACCACCTCTGCCCTGCCTGGAACCACCTGGCATAGGTTACAGAGCAATCTGCATCTGGCTGCTACTTTTGCTGGGCTTGGAAGTGCCCAGGAGAGACCAAGCTGCAAACCAAGCCCAGTGGCTGGGACCACTTAGTGAGAGGTACAGGGCATGCCAAGGTCAGATGCTGCTTGTTTGCAATTTCTGAAACTTTGAGAGATTTTAGGAAAATCTGAAGCCAGATTCAAGACAGGAATTTTGTATGGAAAAGCCACTGGAAATGGCTTGGGTGAGCCTATAAGTTGGGTGGGGCAGGGTCTCAGGGAATCACCAGGGTGGCGTGAACACTGTTAGCCAGGTTGATGGAGACTCAGGAATGACACCCACCTGCTGGCTTTGTGGGGGGTGGGAGGGCTCAGAAAAGGAACAATGGCCTCTGCCAGCACTCTTGTCTGGCAGAAGGCTGCCTCTCCAGCTCTCGCCCTGATGCCAGACAATTCAGTTCCTCCCTGTATGTCCCTGGTGCCTTTCCAGCTGCTGCCCCAGTGCTGGAGCTCAAAGTGAGAGACCAAGTAAGTCCATGTGTGGGCTCTTTAAGAGAAATGCCTGGGACTCCAGCAGCCTCTGTGTCACTCAGCCACACTCCCCGATAGTTTTTACAGCCAGAAGTTATGGGGACTTCTCTTCCTGGCACTGGAACCCTGGGCTGGGGGGCCTGGTGTGGGATTGGAAACTCTCGCTCCCCATGGGGTCTAAGCAGCCAAGATATCCCCCCAAATTTTATCCAAACACATTGGCGTGGGACCAGCCTGTCCTGTATCTCCGTCCGTGTTACAAATCTCAATGTAGCTTTTCTTTAAATCCTTGGTTGTAGGACTTCCATTTAGCCAGATTTCAGGTGGTTCTGAATGATGGTGGTTCTGTGGGGTTAGTTGTAATTTCGATGTGGTTGTGGGAGGAGACAAGTTTACCTACACTGCCATCTTGACCAGAAACCTGCCTTTTGGTCTTAAGTTTTAAATTTGCTTACAGTGGTTGCCATGCCAATGTCAATGTACCACCTTCAGAAGAAAGGTGGAGTCACAGAGGACCTGGGGACTCCGGACATAGCTTCCTCTCTCTGTGGAGGAAACTGGGATGTCTCAGCACCATGAAAACTGCTGATCCCATAGGAAATTACTGCAGAACATTCTCAGCTGATAGTGGTGCAAACATCTGTTAAAATCCCTTTTCTGTGTGTCACGGCCCCTCCCGAGGATGAGACCACATGCTGTTTCCACACACGGCCTAAAGGAAACGAAACCCACAGTAAAAGCCCCTCCCCACATGTTATTGAAATGCTAACAGAACATGTGCTGCAAACCTGAGGTATGTAGATTCTAAACACTCAATTTCTACGAAATTACCCATTTGAAAGGAATATATAGCCAACTTACTTTGCTGGAATAGGAATTCCACTGGCATCAAAAAGTTTAAGAAACACCCAGCCACAGCTCAGTTCTCCTCTTTCACCAGTTGACTAGGAAATAAAAACGTAGGTGAAACAGTGTCTGAAGCAGTCAGATATATAAGCACATTCCAGGTCCTCTTAAAGCAACATTAGTCTTCACTTTAGACTGAAATCTTCCCGAGAAGATACAGCGAAGCCCAGAGGAGCCCCTGCACTCAGAGCTGTGGAGATGCGCAGACCCACGGGGCTCAGCTGCTCGTGGAAGCCCCGAGACCTGCCTGGTGACGTGGCAGCTGCTCCAGGCTCCTGGGTGACACAGGATGGGGTGAGCTCCAGTCACTTCGACAGCCCATGAGATCAGGAAGCCCTGTCTCCCTGACAGATAGATGAGCAATTAAATCCTTCAAGGGTCTTTCCTGCTCAGAACTTTGCTCAACGGAAACTGTCAGAGGCCAGTGGGGCCCATCGGGGGCCCTGCCCCTCTCCTGACCCACACAACACAGACGATGCATCTGCCTCAGGGAATGACAGGATGGTGCAGTCGCATCCATGTAAGGACAGCAGGCTCTCTGGGTTACCATGACACCCAGTACACACACTGCACCTTTCACACTATTAGACTATGGACACGTGTAACTACCGCAGACCCACACCCACTGGTTCAATAGTTTATACGATGTTACAGTAATCCAAGTTGCTGATGATCCTTTTTAAAAAGGCACGACCTGCCAGCTCCCTGAATGACAACCCTCATTCACAGGGTTTCGTGCCCTCTGACTGCAGGACGGAGGGAAGCCGCTGTGCTGGAATGCCACCAAACATCTTCCGCCTTCTCTGCGAAGCCCCATCCTTTCCACACCATCACTCTTTAAAAGCACCGAGTTCACCCAAGCTATAAATGTAAATACACTCCTATTTATTTCTATTTAACTTTTTTCCTGACCAACTTTTTCCCCTTTCTTCACTACTATGTGAAACTCACTTTTTTTTCAAGGAGGGAAAGGCAATATGCCCAGCCAAAAAGTGTTTCCTCTTCAGATTCCTTTTCAGGCAAGGTGGCCACATGTCCACCTTGCTTCTGAGATACATATGAAAATGTCAAGTGGGGCCTCAGGAAAAATTTTTATGGGAATAGACTATTATATATTTTTTTTTTCACCTTCTAACCTCTTAGTTATACTTAAGATTACAGGTAATAGCTGTTGAATTGTGGAGTACTTCATCTAGGTATAAATTTTATACTATCTGCCAGATAACTTTTAGAACTTGGAATATGGCTTTATTGCCAATATGTAGTTTCAATATATATGCAGCTTACATCCAATTTAGGGTTGGTTTGCTTCTCTGAAAGAGGGTTTTTGTTTTTTTTTCATGTTGGTCACAAATCACTACACAGTATAAGTTTTTCCAGTGTAGCTCAGTAATACACAGCAGTTTTTTTCTTTCACCTGCCCACCCACCACCCCTGGAAACCACCCATCTGTTCTCTGTATCTATGAGTCTGTTTATTTTATTTTATTTTTAGGATCCACCTATAAGTAAAATCATATGGTATCTGCCTTTCCCTGTCTTATTTCACCTAGCATAATGCCCTCAAGGACCATCTATGTTGTTGCAAATGTCAAGATTTCATTCTTTTTTATGGCTGAATAATATTCTGTGTGTGTGTGTGTGTGTGTATATATATATATATGCTATATCTTCTTTATCCAAATGTCTATTCATGAACACTTAGGTTGCTTCCCTATCTTGGCTATTGTAAATAATGTTGCAATAAACATAGGGATACATACATCTTTTCTAATTAGTGTTTTGGATTTCTTCAGATTAAATACCCAGAAATGAAACTGCTGGGTCATATGCTAGTTCTATTTTTAGTTTTTTGAGGAACTTCCATACTGTTTTCCATAGTGGCTGCACCAACTTACATTCCCACCAACAATGCACAAGGGTTCCCTTCTATCCACATCCTCACCAACACCTGTTACTTCTTATTTTTTTGATAACAGCCATTCTAACAGAAGGGGTGATATTTTGTGGTTCTGATTTGCATTTCCCTGGAGATTAGTGATGTTAAGCATCTTGTACTTTAATTCTAAATGCTACTGAATAGCAGCATTATATACAAAATTAAAATCACGGACTTCCGGTCAAGATGGCGGGTAGGTAAACGCGGTATCCATCCTCGCACAACCACATCAAAGTTACAACTAAACTACAGAAAAACCATCATTCAAAACTGCCTGAAACCAAGCTGAATGGAAGTCCTACGACTACAGAATTAAAGCAGCAGCCACATGAGACTGGTAGGAGGGGCAAAGGGGACGAGCTGGTCCCACACCCACGTGTGGCAGATAAAAATCAGGAGGACACCTCGGCTGGGAAGGTCCTTCCTGAGGACTGAGGGGTCCCCGCCCCACACCAGGTGCCCCGCTCAGGGTTCCAGTGCCAGGAAGAGAATCCCCATCACTTCTGGCTGGAAAAACCAGCGGGAACTGAGGCTCAGAGAAGCTGAGGCGGCTGGAGCCCCAGGCAGCTCCTTAAAGGGCCCGCGCACGGACTTACCGGACTCTCTCCCTCTAAGCTCGGAGGGGAGGCAGCTCGAGGGGCGCCAGAGACATACAGGGAAGAACTGAGCTGTTTGTCACTGGAGCGAGGGCTGGAGAGGGGGCTTTCTCCGGGACAGACGTGCTGTCAGAGGCCTTTGTTCCTTTGGTGAGCCCTTCCCTGGGGCGGCAGACAGTCGCCATATCTGGGACTCCAGCAACCTGGCTCACACTGGTAGCCCCGCCCTGCTGACTCCCTGAGGCCCCGCCCCACTTTAAGGCCCACCCAAGCTGTTGCCACTTGCTTAACCATAGGATTGGCCAGTCTTGGATCCTGCTTCAGGTTTTCCTAAATTCTTTCAAACGAGCAGCATCGGGTCTCAGTGAGCCCCATACCTCTCGTTAAGTAATACACAGAAACTAACACAGGGAGGCAGCCAAAATGAGGAGACACAGAAACAAGTCCCAAATGAAAGAACAGAACAAAACACCAGGAAAAGAACTAAGCAAAATGGAGATAAGCAACCTAACAGATGCTGAGTTCAAAATACTGCTTATAAGGATGCTCAATGAACTCAGTGAGAACCTTAGTGAACTTAGTGAGGGCCTCAAGAGCATAAAAAAGGACCAGTCAGAAATGATGGATGCACAGTTAGAATTGAAGGAGGCATTAACTGAAATAAAGAAAAATTTACACAGATTCAATAGTAGAGTATGTAAATCCAAGAAGCAAATCATCGATTTGGAATATAAGGAAACAAAAAACGCCCAATCAGAACAGCAAAAAGAAAATAGATTCCAAAAAAATGAGGACAGTGTAAGGAGCCTCTGGGACTTCAAGCATGCCAACATTCGCATCTTGGGGGTGCCAGTAGGAGAAGAGCGAGAACAAGAAATCGAAAACCTGTTTGAAACAATAATGGCAGAAAACTTCCCTAACTTGGTGAAGGAAACAGACATACAAGTCCAGGAAGCACAGAGTCTCCCAAACAAGATGAACCCCAAGAGGCCCACACCAAGACACATCATCATCAAAATGCAAAAGGTTCAAGACAAGAGAGAATCTTAAAAGCAGCAAGAGAAAGGCAGCTAGTTACCTACAAGGAAGTTCCCATTGGACTGTCAGCTGATTTCTCAAAAGAAACTTTGCAGGCCAGAAGGGAGTGGCAAGAAATATTCAGAGTGATGAAAACCAAGAACCTACAACCAACATTACTCTATCCTGCAAAGCTGTCATTTAGAATCCATGGCCATATAAAGAGTTTCCCAGACAAGAAAAAGTTAAAGGAGTTCATCACCACCAAACCGTTACTATATGAAATGATGAAGGGTCTTTTTGAAGAAAAAGATAAAATATATGAACAAACAAAATGGCAATGAATACATATCTATCAACAATGGAATCTACAAACAAAATGAACAGGTAGAACAGAAACATTCTCATAGATACAGAGAATATTTTGTTGGTTGCCACATGGGAGGGGGGTTGGGGGAATGGGTGAAAAGGGTGAAGAGATTAAGAAGTACAAATTCATTGCTAGACTGACAAACCTCAAAGGGAATGGGTTGGGGGAGGGGTGAGAAATAAACCAAGGAAATTATATGCATAACCAATGGACACAGACAACAGTGTGGGAAAAGGCGGGAGGGGGGCAGGAGTGGGGAAGAGGGGGTCAATGGGGGAAAAGTGAGGAACATCTGTAATACATTCTATATTCAACAATAAAGATTTTTAAAAAAAATTAAAATCACTGCCATTTCCATTCCTAAGAATTAAAATAATATTACACATAAAAATACCAATTATTTTACTTGTAAATACAAAGTTTTTTAAAAAAGAAACTTCTCTTTTAACTGACACATTAGAAAGCTTTATCTTTCAATTGACATACATTACGAATATAAGAAATTCCAAGTTCAAATAATATTCCAAGATCAGGAGACGAAGAATTGGACCTGATGAAACAATCACCATCAAGCAAGCACGGTAAGGTGCCAGTGACCTGGAACAACAAGGAAGCTACAGTTACCAGCAGACACTGAAACTGGGAGGGAGGTTTCAGCTCCGTCCCCCTGTGAATGGGCTATGCCCTCGCATCGCAGTAAAGGTATTTCACAGGGAACAAAAAGCAGATGGACTAGACTCGTCTACACCAATAATTTGAAATGTAAAACTTTAACTTTGTGTTAAAGGGAAATACCTCTACCTTCACTTACCCTTTCCTTAGAGAGGCTAAGTAAAACAAGTACTATACCTAGGCCCCCAGAGGTGTGACAAAAATCATTTGCACATATAAGATATCATACAAACCATAGTTGTCTAAACAGAACTAAAATTAAAGACTTCATACACACATTGGTCAACTTTCCTGAGGTGAGCCTTGTGAATTTCCTTTCCTCCCCTTTTGCTCATTCCCTCCCCTCTCCCAGGACAACCTCATCCCTCTTTCCTGCCTATAAGATCCCACCCATCCTTCAAAGTCCACTTTCTCTTGTACCAACCTCCCCGAGCCTGTATGAATGTCCCCTCCTCTGTGCTTCCATAGCACCTGGGTCCCACAACTGCCCCGCTCTGCCGCTGGGGCAGCATCAACAGGACCCACCCCGCAGGGGGCTCTAAGGTCACAGGAGACAAAGCACATGGCTAGGGCTCCGTCAGTACAGCATCGTCATTACCTGTGCATAGGTTTCTTCCCTGGTGCCGTGCACGTCCCCTCAGCACCTGGGAGGAATGCCTACACCTAACAGATGCTGAATTCCATTCAACAGGGTAACACATACTTATTATTTATCCTCCAAACAGCTCTTCGTCTCTGAGAAGGCTCTGCCCTCAACACTTCACACACACAGACGCCCTGTCAGGACTGGGACAGGTGGTGCCACAGTGCAAGCAGCAGGTGCTTAGAGGCTCCCACAGACTCGCAGGATTGTCCTCTGACATGTGTGGACACACACAGCACACAAGTGTAGGGGCTGTGCCTCTGCCACGTCCCGTGCCCTCTCGCTGACCCTCTGTCCTGCCTGAAGATCTTCTGATGCCATTAGAGCAAGTTAACAGTTGTTCTTAGGGTTCAGTGACACATGGGAACTACTGTGGCTGCACCAGTCTGCATTCCTCCAGCAGGGTACTAGAGTTCCCTTTTCTCCACATCTTACCCAGCACTTGTTGTTTGTTGATTTATTGATGGCAGCCATTCTGGCAGGTGTGGTGATACCTCATTGTAGTTTTAATTTGCATCTCTCTAATGATTAATGACATTGAGCATTTTTTCATGGGTCTATTAGCCATCTGTATGTTCTCTTTGGAAAAGTGTCTGTTCAGTTCCTTTGCCCATTTTTTTTTTTTTTATTATTGTATTTTTGTTACAGATGTTTCTCCTTTTTTCCCCACTGACACCCTCCTCCCCATCCTGCCCACCCCTTCCCCAGCTTTGTTGCCCATGTCCACTGGTTATGCGTACATGTATATAAGTTCTGTGGTTTATCTCTCCCCTCCCCCCACTGCCCCCTCTTCTGAGGGTTGTCAGTCTGTACCCAACTTCCACGTCACTGGGTCCACCATGTTCCTCAGACTGTTATGTTCATTATATTCCAAAAATAAGTGAGATCATGTGGTATTTGTCTTTTTCTGCTTGGCTTCTTTCGCTTAGGATAATACTTTCTAGGTCTCTCCATGTCGTCTCAAAGGACAAGAGATCTTTCTTTCTTATAGCTGCATAGTACTCCATTGTGTATATGTACCACAGCCTTTTTATCCATTCATCTGCTGATGGATACTTAAGCTGTTTCCAGATCTTATCTACTGTAAATAGTGCTGCTATGAACATGGGGTACATATATTCTTTCTGATTGGTGTTTCTGGCTTCTTAGGGTATATTCCTAGAAGTGGGATCACTGGGTCAGATGGCAATTCAATTTTTAATTTTTTGAGGTAACAGCATAGTGTTTTCCACAGTGGATGCACCAGTCTGCATTGCCACCAGCAGTGTACTAGAGTCCCCTTTTCTCCACACCCTGGCCAACACTTGTTGTTTGATGATTTGTTGATGGCGGCCATTCTGAAAGGTGTGAGGTAATACCTCATTGTTGTTTTAATTTGCATCTCTGATGATTAGTGATGTTGAGCATTTCTTCATAGGTCTCTTGCCATTTGTATGTCTTGTTTGGAGAAATGTCTATTCATCTGCTCATTTTTAAATTGGGTTCTTTGCCTTCCTTTTGTTGAGTTGTATGAGTACTCTATATATTTTAGAAATTAACCCCTTATCTGATGTATCATTGGCAATGATGCTCTCCCATAGAGTGGGTTGCCTTTCCATTTTGATGATTGTATCTTTTGCTGTGTAGAAGCTTTTTAGTTTAATGTAGTCAGTCCCATGTGTTCATTTTCTCCTTTGTTTCTGTTGCCTTAGGTGATATATCAGTGAAAATTCTGCTGCGTATGATGTCCGAAATTATGTTGCCTACAGTTTCTTCTAGGATTTTTATGGATTCGCAGGTCACATTTAAGTATTTTATCCATTTTGAGTTTATTCTTGTGTATGGTGTAAGTTGATGGTTTAGTTTCACTTTTTGCATGTAGCTGTCCAATTTTCCCAACACCCTTTATTAAAGAGGCTGTCTTTACTCCACTGTATGCTCTTGCCACCTTTGTCAAATCTTAATTGAGCATAATGTCTTGGGTCCATTTCTGGGTTTTCTATTCTGTTCCACTGGTCTATATGCCTGTTCTTGTGCCAGTGCCAGGCTGTTTTGATTAAAGTAGCTCTGTAGTATAACTTGATATCTGGTATTGTGATCCCTCCTACTTGTTCTTCTTTTTCAAGATCGCTGTGGCTATTCGGGGTCTTTCTTTGTTCCATATGAACTTTTGAAGTATTTTTTCTAGTTCTGTGAAATATTCATTGGTATTTTCATGGGGATTGCATTGAATCTATAGATTGCTTTGGGTAATATGAATATTTAAATGTTAATTCTTCCAATCCATGAATGAGGTATGTGCTTCCACTTTTTTGTATCTTCCTCTATTTCTTTTATCAATGTCCTGTAGTTTTCTGCAAATAGGTCCTTTACTTCTTTGGTTAAGTTTATTCCTAGGTGTCTTAATTTTTTTTGCCACAATGGTAAATGGGATTGGTTTTTCAGTTTCTCTTTCTGTGAGTTCATCATTGGTGTATAAGAATGTATTGATTTCTTGATATTAATTTTGTATTTTGCTACTTTGCCAAATTCATTTATTAAGTCGAGTAGAATTTTGATGGAGTCCTTAGGGTTTTCTATGTAGAATATCATGTCATCTGCAAATAATGACAGTTTCACTTCCTCCTTTCCAAATTGGATCACTTTTATTTTTTCTTCATGTCTGATTGCTGTGGCTAAGACTTCCAGAACTATGTTAAATAAGAGTAGCGAAAGTGGGCATCCCTGTCTTGTTCCTGTTCTTAAGAGAAATGCTTTTACTTTCTGCCCATTGAGTATGTTGTTGGCTGGAGGTCTTTCATGTATGGACTTTATTATGTGGAGATATGATCCCTCTATTCCCACATTGCTGAGCTTTTTAATCAGAAATGGATGCTGGATTTTGTCGAAAGCTTTCTCAGCATCTATTGATATGATCATGTGGTTTTTTGACTCTTCATTTTACTTATGTGGTGTATAATATTTATTGATTTGCAAATATTGAACCAGCCTTGCATGCCTGGGATGAATCTCACTTGGTCATGGTGAATAATTTTTTTGATGTATTGCTGAATTCGATTTGCTAGTATTTTGTTCAGGATTTTGGCATCTATGTTCATCAGGGATATTGGCCTGTAGCTTTCTTTCTTTGTAGTGTCTTTTCCTGGTTTTGGAATTAGAATTATGCTGGCCTCATAAAATGAGTTTGGAAGTCTTCCTTCTTCTTAAATTTTTTGAAATAGTTTGAGGGAAATGGGTGTTAGTTCTTTTTTGAATGTTCGGTAAAACTCCCCCATTAAGCCTTCCGGGCCTGGGCTTTTGTTTGCTGGGAGAGTCTTCATTACCTCTTCAATTTCCTTAGTTGTTATTGGTCTGGTTCAGTTTTGGGAAACTGTTTTTCTAGAAATTTGTCCATTTCACTTAGATTGTCAAATTTGTTGCCACATAATTGTTCATAATAGTTGTTAATGATCTTTTGTATTTCTGTGGTGTCAGTTGTTACTTCTCATCTTACATTTCTGATTTTGTGTATTTGGGTTCTCTCTCTCTTTGTTTCTTGGTGAGTCTACCTAAGGGTCCATCAATCTTGTTTACCTTTTCAAAAAACAAGCTCTTTGTTTCATTGATTTGAATTGTTTTTTGGTCTCTATGTCATTTATTTCTGCTCTGATCTTTACTATTTCCTTCCTTCTAATTGCGCTGGGGTTTTCTTTTTGTTTGCTTTCTAGTTCTTTAAGTTGTGAAGTTAGTTTATTAGAAATTTTTCTTGTTTCTTGAGATAGGCCTGTAGTGCTATGTACTTCCCTCTCAGGACTGCTTTTGCTGCATCCCATAGATTTTGTGTTTTTGTGTGTTCATTTTCATTGGTTTCCAGGAAGTTTTTAATTTCTTCCTTGATCTCCTCGGTAACCCATTCATTGTTTAATAACATGCTATTTAGCCTCCTTGTGTTTAAATGTCTTTGCATGTTCTTGTTGCAGTTGATTTCTAGTTTCATACCATTGTAATCTGAGAAGATGCTTGATATGATTTCAATCTTCTTGAACTTGTAGAGATTTAGTTTGTGGCCTATCTTTGAGAACGTCCCATGTGCACTTAAGAAGAATGTGAATTCTATAGTTTTGGGGTGTAATTCTCTGTAGGTATCTATTAAATCCATTTGGTCTAGTGCTTCATTTAGAGTCTCTGTTTCCTTGCTAATTTTTTGTTTAGAGGATCTATCCAGTGATGTCAGTGGGGTGTTGAAGTCCCCTGCTATGATTGTATTGCTGTCGATTTCTCCTTTGATGTTCTCCAGAAGATTTTTAATATATGTTGGTGCTCC